CCTGAACATTAGTGAGGGCTGGTTTCTCAATAAACACACGACACACTCATCGATACCATATACAAAAGGAAAACACCAAAATACAAGAAAAGAGGTCTCTGGAATTTGTGGTCCTTTCCTGCCCTTCAGACTGAGTTCCGGATTCTGAGTCTTTAGGTTATGTGGTTAGCTCTCCCAGTGTTATTCAGAGAAGGGTGAACTTGCCTTCCCAGTACATATTTTATAGAAACCTACCAAAATGTTTACAAGATCTTCTTGGCTACAATATATGTTTATTCTAGTTGAAGCCCCTTGTCTGTTTTTGTTGGTTTGTTTGTTTTTGCCAATATCATATTTTTTGGTATTCACATTCAGTTTTTTTTTTTAAGATTTATTTTTATTATTTTTTTCATTGGAAAGGCGGATATACAGAGAGGAGAGACAGAGAGGAAGATCTTCCGTCCCATGATTCACTCCCCAAGTGAGCGCAACGGGCCGATACTATGCCAATCCGAAGCCAGGAGCTTCTTCCGGGTCTCCCACGCGGGTGCAGGGTCCCAAAGCCTTGGGCCGTCCTCGACTGCTTTCCCAGGCCACAGGCAGGGAGCTGGAAGGGAAGCGGGGCTGCCGGGATTAGAACCGGCGCCCATATGGGATCCCGGGCGTGCAAGGTGAGGACCTTTAACCACTTGCGCCACCGCACTGGGCCCCACATTCAGTTTTTTAAGGGATTATTTGACCCTGATTTATTTTTAATTCAGTGAATGAATCAAGCAGCATGTTGTGCATATATGTGTGTTTGTGTATATGTATGCTTCAGTGGGTGTGCATGTCTGTGCACAGGTATAGGTGAGCGGATTGTTTGCATGGAACTCAATATGCACTTCCAAATATGTGAAATTTAGGGTTTTATCTGTAATAAAAGAATTTTCTTATCTGTTGCTGTTTAAGAATTATCAAATTATATTCATAACTTGGGAAATAATAGTCTTAATTATAAAATATTTTTAAAGACTTTTGTTTTTGTATCTGTGAGAATATGAGATATCAAGTTAGGCTATTTATAGTATTTGAAGGATTCTCAAAAAGAATTTAAAGAATATATTTAAAATATTTGTAACTAGGCATAAATTATTCTCTTGGATATCTAGTTCCCTTTCCCTCTTGTTGGCAATATTAATTTCTGTGGTCAACTTTCTTTTTAACAAATATTTATTTATTTAGGCCTAGCACAATGACTCAGTAGCTAAATCCTTGCCTTGCATGCACTGGGATTCCATATGGGTGCTGGTTCATGTCCCAGCTGCTCCACTTCTCATCCAGCTCCCAGCCTGTGGCCTGGGAAAGCAATAGAGACCGGCCCAATGGTTTGGGATCCTGCACCCGTGTGGGAGACCCAGAAGACTCCTGTGATTCCTGGCTTTGGATTGGCTCAACTCTGTGCATTGTGGCCACTTGGGGGGTGAAACAGCAGACAGATTTTTCTCTCTATCTCTCCTTCTCTCTGTAAATCTGCATTTCCAATTAAAATAAATACATCTTTTAAAAACCCCCACAAATATAATTTTTTTTGAAAAATCATGATATATTGAGATTGGGAGAGACAGAGAAAAATCTTTGAGCTGCTGCTTAACTCTCCAAATGGTCTCAGCACTGGGAGGCTGTGCTAGGCTGAACCCAGATAACAGAAACCCATTTAGGTCTCCGAAGAGGTGAGAGGGGCTCAGCACTTGAACCATTTTCCATTGCTTTCCCAGGCACATTGGCAGGGAGCTGCATGGAAACTGGAGCAGCTGGGACTTAAACCCTCTGTCATGTCACATGGAATGTCAGCATCAAAGGTGGCAGTTTAACCTACTGTGCCACAAAAGCAGTCTCATATATCCTGTTTTCCCAAACTGCCTCATGCTGAGCAAGAGTGTATCCAGAATTAAAGAGTCCTAATTTTCAATCTTGTTTTCATTTGAATTCCATTGCTTCTAAGCCTACAATGTGTAGTTGCTGTGTTGTGAAGTGCTTCTTGGAGACAGCCACATCCTTGTGTTTTGCAGAGGTAGGGAGCAAGGCATTAGAAAGAGAACCAGTGAGAAACTTAAGAGAGGATCCGGGAAATAGCTTCTGTACTTGGAGACTCTTGACGGAATAGATGACGTGTCAGTCAGGTTGTATCATCACACCTTGTGAGACTCTAACCATTGATGAAGGGTGTTTTACATGCCATTATACGTTTTCATTTGTTTCCTCCCTAAAGTGCACACACAGTTCTGTATTTGATAAACAAAGAATGGAGAATGTTTTCTGTATTTTCTGATCTCAGATATGATGTTCTCTAGCTCTGTTGAAATCCAGACAGATGGAAGATGAAATTGTTCCTCTTAGGATTCTGAATGTGATCTCATTCTTCTTTATCTTTAAAGCTATTGATGATACCAAATCATTCTTTCTTACACGTCAGGAGATTATGATTCAACAGGATGGATTTTAGGTAAAGAACTTCATCCTACTTGTGCCTCAAATAATTTGTCGATTTAAAAAAAAGATAAGAATATAGTCTGTTTTTGGTATACCATATATATCAACAGATATATTTAAAAATAAGAATAATCTGCATAACTTTTGGTCAAGATGCTTTGGGCATGTTTGTGTGTATACTCTGTGTTCATATAGAAACAAGTTGATGACAGTAATTATATTTGGAAATATCTTGGAATAATTCACACCCTCATTGATTCAAAAGGCATGAAGAAACATTTTGAGGAATCAGGAAAGAAAATTTTAAGTATTATCTACTTATAAAATGATAATGTATTTTTAAAGCACTTATTCCACTTATTATCCTGCATATATTATTCCCTTTACTACTTAACAATGTTTTTGTTGAGACAATCTTGTCATTCTCATTTGACAGGAAACGAAACCAAACCAAGAATTAAAGATGTTGTCTTCTACCTAAGATCATAGAGAGAGTTGGGGACTAAGTTAAGACTGTATGTCTTCTCGACATAAATCTTCATCTAAATCCCAACCCTTGATTGATCTAGTACAATAAATTCTTTATATTTCTTTCAAGATTCATGTATACATGTTATCATGGTAGGTCTGCATTACTCTATGTAACTTTTGATTTCTTGGGTTCTCAATATGTACAGAAAAACAATGAGTTCAGCTGGTTGTCACAGGTTCTATAACAGGATAATATTAGTGTTTTACTAATCAGTACATGGATTTATAAACTGCACAGCTCGTGCTTCCATGTGTTATAGTTTATTCATGTGGGTAAAATGAAAATAAAAGTTTGTAAGCTTATACTACATGGTTAATTATGCAAATAACTATAATCAAATCTCACTGTTACTTAATATCCCAACAGCTTTTTTTCCTCTCACTTTCCGTATAGTAGTACCTACATTTCCAATAGGCTGTAAAAATCAAGAGAGTGCTGTTTCCCTGCATTGAATTGTCTCCATACATTCATGCTGTAATTCTTTGACTTCTTTTGGATCACAGCGACAGGTGCTTGTTCCTGAAGTTGTCTAAAAGGGATTTCATGATGACTTTGGGCCACTCAATGAAGCAACTTCTGATCAGCCATGCAGCTGTGAATCGAATGCTTTTTCACTGAATTGAAATTATTAATACAATGAATAAGGGAATATGTTTGTTATGGACCAAAAACCTCATTGTATGTTCTAAGAAATGTAATACTGTGGGTGAGGGGATCTATTGGATCTGTTGCATGTGACAGTGTGGTTAGTAGAAAGAGATGCAATCTGAGTTTAAGGATGTGAAGCCAATCAGATATGTTCTACCCTCTTGTTTTAGGACCCTGAGTAAGTTAGGTAGCATCTGTAACCATTTCACCATCTATAAAATGGTGATCACTTCATCTGACATTACCTCTTCTCAGTTATTCCTTACAAAAAGAGGTAAAATGTATTTTAGTGAGATATTGCTAGGTAAATATTAGATTATTCAAAATAATCATGACACCATTACTAGAACTTTTGTATATGCTGTTTATGATATATTTATTGAATATATCAAAAGATAACAGATCTATACTATTTATGATTATGTTTATACCATAACAGAAAATCCAAATGGTACTAACCCAACTTAGATGGAATTTATATGAAAGAACAAAGGCAGTACTACGAGGTAGGTAGGATTTTCATCCTGTGTTCAGGGACCCAGCCTCCTATGTGCTGTGCTAGCTTTGATTCGAATGTTCAATCCTCAGTGCCACCTATTAACATGAAGTTGTCAAAGAACCACCTACTATGCCTGCATTCCAGGTGGGTGGTAGGTAAAATGGTGGACATAGAACCTAAGAAAAAGACTATGAAAGGAAAAATTAAAAAAGAAGAACACTTTGTAAATCATTTTCTTAGCACATTATTCTAGGTTTGCTGATTTTATATAATTTATTTTGAGGCTGTGTAGTGTTTTGTTAAGCCAGGTGTATTACTGGAGTTCTCTAGGTAAAGAAATCACGGATATTGTGTAGCAACCAGTGCCCTCTGCTGTGAGATTACATACAATTTGCATTTTCTTTATTATAAACTTTGTGGACAATTCAAGGAATAAAATTATTTAGCATAATTTTGATTATGAAAAATTTATCCACAATTTTAGCCTATTAATCATCCTGTCCTAAGAATTTCAAAGTTGGATTTTTTTAAGAGTTACCTGCTGTAAATTTACCAAGAATGCTTAATTTTGAAAAATTGCACATTTTTTTGTTGTGTTACAATTGTGTTTAAATTGGAGTAACAAACAGGTCCTAGTGAGTAAGAGTGGTCCCTTTAGTTTTTCAGAAAATGATACAGATATTTAAGAAAAATAACATTTCACATTTACAGTTCTAGGTTCTTTTATCAGTTAAGAAGTTTTATTGTTGCTAGTAACTTTACCTGAAGTTTAGATAACATATTTATCAACGTGGTGGCAGAAACTTTTAGAATTTCTATTAAATAAAACAAGTTCCATAAAGAAAATGAGGACAATGCTTAGTATAAAAATAATTATGCATAGCAATAGCTTTATTGTGTTGGAGTTAAAATAGCTTTTTTGAGTAAGTATTGAAACGCTTCATAAAGAGAGTTGGTTGAAAATGATTCAGAGAGCCAGGCCCCGCGGCAGGCCGCTCGGCTTCCCGGCTCGGGAGTCTCTCCGGACGGACGGGCCAGAAGTCGTCCCCCTGCAATGGAGCGCTGCAGCCCGCTCCCCGCCCGGCTGCCCCACGTCGCGCGGGGACGGTGGTGGCCGCCAGGCTCTGCTCGCGGGAGCGAAGGGGACCGAGCCGCCCGGCCTGTGCCCGCCCGTAGGTCCTCAAGATGTCCTCGCCGGCCCCCACTGCGGAGGAAGAGGACACCACCGCCCAGCGCATCCGAGAAGGAGCCCGACATGCCGGCCCGAAAGCGGAGAGCGAGGAGGAGGAGGAGGAGGAAGATGAGGACGAGGAGGAGGATGAGGAGGAAGAGAAAGAAGAGTCTCATCGTGGAAGGCAAGAGGGAAAAGACAAAAGTAGAGAGGTTGACCATGCAAGTCTCTTCCTTGCAGAGGGAGCCATTTACCATTGCACAGGGAAAGGGACAGAAACTTTGTGAAATTGAAAGGATACATTTCTTTCTGAGTAAGAAGAAAACTGATGAACTTAGAAATCTTCGCAAACTACTTTACAATAGACCAGGCACAGTGTCCTCATTAAAGAAGAATGTGGGTCAGTTCAGTGGCTTTCCGTTTGAGAAAGGAAGTACCCAGTATAAAAAGAAGGAAGAAATGTTGAAAAAGTTTAGAAGTGCCGTGTTGAAGAGCATCTGCGAAGTGCTTGATGTGGAGAGATCGGGTGTGAACAGTGAGCTAGTGAAGAGGATCTTCAACTTCCTAATGCATCCAAAGCCTTCTGGCGAACCACTACCAAAGGCTAAGAAGACTCCTAGCAAAGGCAGTAAAAAGGAACGCAACAGTTCTGGAACGGCAAGCAAAGCGAAACGAACCAAACACCCCGAGATTCTGTCAGATGAGTCGAGTAGTGATGAAGATGAAAAGAAAAGCAAGGAAGAGTCTTCAGAGGATGAAGATAAAGAAAGTGAAGAGGCGCCACCAAAAAAGACATCGAAAAAAGAAAAACCTAAGCAGAAAGCTGCTGCTAAAAGTAAAAAATCTGTAAAAAGTGCTAATGTGAAGAAAGCAGATAGCAGCACCACCAAGAAGAACCAGAACAGTTCCAAGAAAGAAAGCGAATCTGAGGATAGTTCGGATGAAGAACCTCTAATTAGAAAATTGCAGAAACCACCTACAGATGAAGAGCTAAAGGAAACAATAAAGAAATGGTTGGCCAACGCTGACTTGGAGGAAGTCACGATGAAGCAAATCTGTAAAGAGGTGTGTGAAAGTTACCCTGCTTATGACTTAACCGAAAGAAAAGATTTCATAAAAACAACTGATAAAGAACTAATCTCTTGAGATGTGATAGAGGAAGAGGCAGCGGATGTATTCCCATCCATCTGAAGATCTGATTTGTACCATTATACCAGCAAAGAGAATGTAACTCCTTTTCTAAATCCTTGCTAAGTATTGTTGGCACAACTAAACTGCTGACCTTTTACTGTCTTGAGTGTCACGTAAAATTGAGTTTGCCGTTTTAAATTGCATTTCTATGCAGGTTTTAGTTAAAAACTCGTGCATGGCAGTAATTGTTCCCTGCTTTTATAGTTGTATTTTGTAAATTTTTGATTTCTTTATATAAGGTCATAGCTAGATGTGGGTTTTAGTGCAGTTAACATTAGCTTGCTTAAGACATTCTTTTAACTAAATAGAACTCTCACTGGCATTTATACAAAGACTGTTGCAGTATTTAGTACATGAATTATTTTGAATTTTGAATACACGTCTCTTCTGTCAGAGTGAGAGCTCACTGATGGTGTGGATCGGAGAACAGAAACCACCGTTGTCCAGGGGCCTAAATCAGAGCTTCTCCTGCATGTATATAATGTCAGATTGTCAGCATGACAGAAGTTATTTTTGTATCTTTAAAAACCAATTTGTTGTATATAGTTTTTTAAATTTCTTTTGTGCAGATCAATTTTTAAACTCATGTGGGTAGGTATCTTTCTAGTTGTAAGCCATGAACAGTCAGTGTTGAAGCAGTGTGAGCGGGCAGTGGAGCTGGCACCCAGCGGCCAGGCACTGAGGACCTTGCTCTCCTGGCCTGCCTTCCAGTGGTCAGTCTGTAGTTTCACTGCTGAGACTGCAGAAATGGTAAGGACAGATCAAAACATCAAAATTTCCAAAACTTTTTGGGAAGAGGTTACATAGAAGCACATTTGGTTTATTAGTAAAAGTCGATTTTTAATAACTGCTTTGCCCATAAAAATGCAAATATCTACAGAAAACTTGGACTGCTGTCATAATTATGACAAAAGTACCAGATGTCATGCCAGAAATGTTACACAGAAGTAGATATCTCTGACAAAGTATTTCTCAGAAATAACATGCTTATTATTTTTAACATTTAAAAATTTCATGTATTTGTGTAATTGGGGCTTTTGGTTTTGAAGTTTTAGCCAATCAGGATTCTATTCAATCAGCATATGGACCACTCTTGAGTGAGGCAGATTTTATCTTTTTCTTAATCAGTTTATTACATCTCTGAATTTAAACTAAACCATGCTGCTATAACAAAATAAGTCGATGTATCCATGGAGTGTTTAAAAAAAAAAATCTTTGCATCATAGAAACTGATTTTGAATGTGAACCAGAGTTTTCACAGGTTTGACCTGTTTCTTGGTAGTTCATATTTTAGGAAATGGTATGTTTAATATAAGGGAATGGAACTATAAGCAACTAAGGGAGACCTACAAATTGGCTTTGGATTTTAAATATTCTTGCAAACCTTGTGAATAAAAATTACAACTCAAAAAAAAAAAAAGAAAGAAAGAAAAAGAAAATGATTCAGAGAAATATTCTCCTGTTTCAACTCTTCCAGAATGGAAAAATATTTATCTACATCTTATTGATAAACTAAGTTTCAAACTGGATAAAGGTAAATATATTTCCCTTGATCTCATTCTGCACATTTCAAAAAATGAATTACATATGCTTATTGTGGAGATTATGTGATGTGTGGAGTGTGTTGTTTTGGTGGGATACGTATTGATTATTCATTTTTTTTTTCTTGTTTGTTTTGCTTACGTGGGGAGTAGGGCTAAAAGAGCACAGTGAATGAATCTTTTGGCTTGAGTCTTGGCAGGCCAATGCCCTTCTTCCCAAATGCACTGTAAGGTTCAGCACCTTTCCATTCTCAGCGAGTGAAGACAGGGGCATGGCTGCATGTCTGCAGTGCTAATGTTTGATGCTCTAGATTAAGAGTTAAGATCTAGGGGGCGATTTGAAGATATGGAGCCTGTTGAGGAACTGAGTGCAGAGTTGTAATAAAGGTCTGGCTACATTGTGTAATATAATCACACTCAGCTTAATTTCTAATTGGTCCGTCGATTTCATGAACTTCCACATAACATCCCACTACAATTGTTTTATTTTAAATCAGTCAAAACTAGTATCTGTTACTTGAAAGTAAAAGCAGTGATTATTTCAACATGCAACAAACATTTGAGAAACAGAAATAATAGAAATATGTGAATGATGATAAGAGCAATTATTCTGGATGGGCATTGTAATTCTGTGAAATTATAATTCATTTTATTATGATTCTGGGAAAAATCAGAAGTTATGACATTACATTATTTCACCTTGTATTTTCTAGTTACACTTTTAACAAATCAAAGTGGAACATGTGTTTAGGAAGATGGTTTTTACTGAGTTGCTTGGCATATTAAATGAGTCGATTTTGTTTGGTGTATTCAAGAAACTGAAAGTATCTACATGTTTATCTTAGAAGTACCAATTAAAAGAGTGCTGAATAAACATTTCCTATTCATTCTACTAGTAATTTGACTAATGTGTACATCTGTGTTCTCATGAGGAAGAGGAATGAACTTTAACTCTGAATATTCAACCTCTTTTTAATGATAGATTTTTCTGGTCAGAATGGAGGCAAATGCCTTCTTTGTTGTATGACAGATTTGTCATTTTAACTAGTTTTCTGTAAACCAGCAGGGACAGAATGCTATGGAACTAATGAATGCCCAACAAAGATTCAATCAAATATCTGAACAATTTGGAAGATCTTTCATTTGCTCCTAGAAAACAACCAAAGTCTAGAAACATGTAGGTAGCACTTTTGTACTTACAAATACCTAAGGTAATTTTTCTTCCTTAGTTGATCCAAATTAGCTTACCTAGAACAATTAGTATTAAACTGCCTTCCAAACTATACCTCAGTTTCCTTGATAGGTTGGAGTATGGAAAGTGGTTTGTGTGGAACTGTATCAAGGAGAGAAGCGTTGTAGTTTTGTAGACTACTATTGTGTCAGAGGAAGCAACCATCAGAGACGAATAAGGGCCTTGCGTCATTTATGCATGTCCCAAATACACAAGATTTATGATTAGCCAATATGTGGATATAATAGTGGCACGCTCTCCTTGAGCGTGTCTGAAGTTTCACATTAAAAAACAAACATCAAAGAAAGAGACAATTAAATACACGCTGCCTCTGAACACTGGGGTAGTATTCTCTGAATTCACAAACATAATGGCTGGCTTATCCTGCTCTCTTGGGATAGTAGAGTGGGGATTGCCATATGTTGCTGTAAAGGTGCTTTCAGTGCCTGTTTGTACATAAGCCATAATTCATATCCTACTGGATTAAGAGACATGGAGCTCTAATATTAGTAAGACTGTGGATTGTTCCTATTTGTGAAAATAAAGAAAATAGAATTAAGAAGAACTTAGGGCCTCTTCAAAGTACAGAATGACAAGACAGAACATCTATTTGCTGCATCTTTTACCAGAGAGATAAACAAGGCATCTTAACTTGATCGGCTGATGTGCCTGTTATCATTGCAAGTGTGTTTACACCATTCTGCTCTTCTCTGTTCTTCCATGATGAGGAACTAGCTAAAAGATATTTTGATATATCTCAGGAAGCTGATTCATTCTGAAGATTTAATAACTTAAGGCCTGAGGAATACTTTACTGAGGAATGGATGCTGTAAGGAGACTTGGCAAGGATTGAGTTTTTATTTCTTGAAGAAGCTTGGCTGTTGGAATCTACTGTACATGGTTTGATTTTGTAGCTCTGCCATTCTGTTAGTTATGGTATCTGTAGTATAGTACTATTATAACGTTATCAGCCACCTCCCCCGCTAATGAACTTTTAATATAGCACATATTCTAAGTAGTTCTGTTGGCTTTGACTGTTGTAGGTGTTTAAGCTTGTAGGTCATGCCATTCACTTAGGCCATCTTATATATTTTGGGCTCAGGGAGGAAGATTTCTGAAATACACAAAAACCATTGGGCTCTGCCCTCATTCTTGGACACCTCCATTTTTAACCTGTAAGGATTTTTGGTAGTAAGACTAACAAACCTGAAAACCCTGAGAGTCATTCCTGTGTCTGCATCATCCTCCTAGCCACTCACATGCTTTTGCTTTTAATTTTCTATTCCACTGGCTTACACATCGCAGTGATGCTTCGCATTTAAGTTCCCATCACTTGTGCAGAGTACCACAACAGGGGCCTAACCAAGTTCTCCTCATCTTTTTCTGCCAATTCCTATTCATATCACTCCTAGACAGAGTTTTATGACAGATCTGAATTTATTGGCCCACTGATTAAAGCATCATTTATTGCTGCACCAGATTTTCTAGGCTTATCTCTAACTCCTATTCTCATGTGTGTAATTGGGTTCTTTGCTTTTTAAATTTAAATACATTTTAAAATATTTTTAAAGATTTATTTATTTTTACTGCAAAATCCGATGTACCTAGAAGAGAAGAGACAGAGAAAGATCTTCCATCTAATGATCCACTCCCCAAATGACCACACGGCCAGAATTAAGCTATCCAAAGCCAGGAGCCAGGAGCTTCTTGTAGGTCTCCCATACAGGTGCAGGGTCCCAAGGCTTTGGGCCATCCTCAACTGCTGGTCACAAGCAGGGAGCTGGATGGGAAGCGGGGCCACTGGGACCAGAACTGATGACTATATGGGATACCGGGGGCAGCATGTGCAAGGCGAGGACTTTAACTGCCAGGCCACCGTGCCAGACCCTAAATATTTTTTTAAAGTTTCTTTGAAAGTTGGAGAAGACAGAGAAAGAGAGTGGGAGAGAGAAACATCTGCTGTCTTCTAGTTCACTCCAGCTGCCACAATGACCAACGCTGGGCCATAGTGAAGTTAAGAGCTCAGGGATTTCTCTGTGTCGCCCACATGGCTGTCGAGCCATTTGATTCCTCTACCATTGCTTTTGCAGGTATATTAGTAGAAAGCTGGATCAGATGTGGAGCAGCTGGTGATCAAACTGGCACCCACATGGATGCACTATTGGTGCTGACCCCAAATTTTTGCTTTTCACTAAACGTATGACATCATCTCACTTCCCTGGCTGCATTCATGTGTTGCCTCAACCTACAGTGTTCTTTTCACTGTTCCTCTTGAACTTCAGATCCAGCTGGTAGTTGTCAGTCTCTTTCATCCAGACTTCCTGATAACAATACCTGGATGCCACCTTTGCTCCACCTGTGAGATCCAATGTACTTGTTCGGAGACAATGCCATGTCATCTTGTCCGTCCAGACGGAATTTGTGTGTTGTCACACTGCTTGCTCTACCATTTCCTGTTCAAAGGTAAAAAGTCTGTTCTTGCTGTTGTCTCTCCTCCCTCTTGTGACTTGACACGAGAATTCAGATATTCATTGAATAGAATTCTTACTGACCTAGGAGAGAGATTTCTTAAAAGTTAGTTGGCCAAATCTTAGCAGAAAACTGGATTATCATTTGATTTATTTTGTGT